TAAAGTATGCTTAAAAACAAGCAAACCTCCAGATGCTCAACTAGCATGCTGACCAACATTCTTGTAAAAGTTCACGACTATAGGTTTAATTGCAATTGTTTACTTTGTGAAGGGTAAAATTTCTAAACAACTGAATAAATCCACACGCAAGACTTAAGGTGCACAACTTCACATTCTGATCAACATGCCTATAGTTTTATGAATCCAGATCAGATACTGAAACTATGCGCGACACAAGATGAATATATATTTATAAGTTTTGCTACGCACAAATTAAATTGAAATAGCTAAGTTTTACTGTCAGGGGCAGAAACTGAATAAATCAACACGCGAAACAAACGTGCACAATTTCACATGCTGATTAACTTTCCTGTAAAGTTTCTTGTCACTAGCTCGATCATTTTTAGCTACTAGTGACACAACATTTTGGAACGGACGCACGCACACAGGGTTGCAAGGACAAATTTAAATGCTCCCTGACCTAGAGTGGTGACAAAAATAATGTCTAAATGTATGTAACATTGCTTTTTTCAAGAGTATCTTCGTTTTTTAATATCAACTGCTGAAGTACCCTGCCCCTGGGATCATTTATTTTCATTACGTACATGCAGTAAAAACTGTCAAAAAATCTTCTTTTCTGAAGATATAACGCTTAGAGCTTTGATATTTGGTAAAGAATTAAATGTCCCTTAACAAAGTAGTTCAAAGTTTGCCTCTAGTGTCAAAATTGGCCCCATCCCGGGGGCATAGGTGTCCAAATATGGAGAAAAAAACACCCTAGGGACTATTGATTCAGTCCAAATAACCTGGAAATTGGTCAAAATTGATTAAAGGTTGTTTTGATAATTTCTAGGGCAAAACTAGGTCACGTAGCCCAAATATTGAAATACCTTGCTAACACACAAGAGGTTATTGTTTTTGTTCAAATATCCTAGATATTGGTCAAAAATGTTGTTTACATGTTTTCTAGCTTAAGTTCAAATATTGGTCATCTTGGATAAAAAAAATAGCCATTCAGCCCAAAATTGAAAAACCTCGTTAACAATTTAGAGGCTACTAATTTAGTCCAATTATTTTTTTTAATGTATTGGAAAGGTTATTTGTATGATTTCTAGCTCAAGTTCAAATATAGTTCATCTGTGGTCAAAAACTAGGCTAAAATATGGATGAACCTTTCTTACACTGTAGAGAAAACTGTTTAGGTCCAAATATCTAGGAAATTAGACAGAAATGTTGTTTAGATGGTTTCTAGGTTATGTTTGAACATGAGACATCTAGGGTCAAAATCTAGGTCACACAACCCAAATTACGGGAAATGTTGTTTACATTCTAGAGGTAATATTTCCATCCCAAATATCCTGAAAATTTGTCAGAAAAGTTATTTTGATGATTTCTAGTTTAGGTTTGAACATGGGTCATCCATGTTTAAAATCTAGTTCACACAGACAAAAATGGAAAAACTTTGTTATCACTCTAGAGGTTACATTTTTAGCCCAAATATCCTGAAAATTGGTCAGAATTAATCAAAGGTTGTTTTGATTATTTCTAGGGTTTAGATGTTTTTTAAGCAATGTTTGAATATGGATCCTCTAGAGTATAAAACTAGGTCACACAACCCAAATTATGGAAAAATATTGTTTACTTTACAGAGTTAATATTTTTATCCCAAATATCCTGAAAATTTGTCAGAAAGGTTATTTTGATGATTTCTAGTTCAGATTTGAATATGGATTATCTGAGGTCAAAAAAGGTCACCGCACATAAAAAGGCATATATGGAAAAAAAACTTCCATGTGCGGATATGAATGTTATGATATCAGTTTAAGTTTATGGTATTATATCTGCCTTTCATTCATTGCAGACAATATTAATTCAGAGCTTCAATAATCAGGTGAGCGATATAAAGGTCATCATGGCCCTCTTGTTTATTATACTACATCAACAAATGCAGAAGATTAACATGAGATGAAAGTTTCTTAGAGACGGACAATCTATATTTGCAGCACGTTTTTCGAAAGCGAACTATTTATGTAATGACAGCAGTTACAGAACAAGACCTCACAAATGTTATTGGAAATTGGCTAAATGTATGGAAAAAAGCTTCCATGTGCGGATATGAATGTTATGATATCAGTTTAAGTTTATGGTATTATATCTGCCTTTCATTCATTGCAGACAATATTAATTCAGAGCTTCAATAATCATGTGAGCGATATAAAGGTCATCATGGCCCTCTTGTTTATTATAATACATCAACAAATGCAGAAGATTAACATGAGATGAAAGTTTCTTAGAGACGGACAATCTATATTTGCAGCACGTTTTTCGAAAGCGAACTATTTATGTAATGACAGCAGTTAGAGAACAAGACCTCACAAATGTTATTGGAAATTGGCTAAATGTACTCCCGAAGGACGAAGATCAATTAATTATTATAGAACTGTTCAATACATGTTTTCTATTCTGTATTTTATGTGCCAAAATGCATTGTCTTTAATTGCAAAGACCTTCATATTTTTTATCTCGTTATTTTTTCATGCATGCCTTAGTAAGTGTTAAAACTATTTTTAGGATATAATTTACATATACAACATTTCCTGTTTTAACCGTTATAAAAGTTCTACCGTTGATTTAAATACATGAATATTTAGAACGCTCATGATTACTTGCGATTATAGTTATTATAAAATGAAATAACTATTGTACACTTGAAACTGTAGGTTGCCAGAACTTGATTACTGAAATTTACTTTAAATTTGTTTCAATATGTGGTAAATTGCCACAAAAACCTGTTTAAAACATTTTCAAGTCTGAAACAATGATGACACAAGGATAAGTTGGTTATAATCTAGCTCTAATGAACCGCCCCCAGCACCCCCCCCCCCCAAAAAAAAATGACGTCTAAAATGTTTCAAATCCGACCATTTCTTTGGCGTCAAAATAGCACTTGAATCTGACGTTGGCTGGACATCAAAAGATTCTATTTTGATTGCAAACCTTTTTGTAAACCATGCATTTTTGTAGCAATTACAATGATCTGAACTATATATGGTTTTTAACCTATAAATAAAATAGATTCGTGCACAACAATCGCACCCTAAAGCTCACTTTTTAATGGTAGGTTACTTCTTAAAGTAAACAGTAACAAGAGCTACCTTCTAGCTTCTTATTTCTAAAGAGAGGAAGAATACTTTAATGTTTAAAAGAATACTCTTCGACAAAAATTTATTGTACAAAATATACCTGAAATTTCATATTTGACTTTGAGTCAAGGTCACATTTGAATAAATCATCAGATCAGTTTTGTCACAAATGTTCCTTTGTGAATCAATGAATAATCAAAAGGGCCATGATGGCCCTAATATCGCTCATCTGATTATAAATGCTTTTGATGCCAAGAAACAGTAATATTGTAAACTATAAATGAAATCAGATATAAGGTCTAAATCTTAAACTGATATCACATAGTTCATATTTGCATCTGAAATAGTGCATAAGAAAAACAATAATGGTTGCTATTGATAAGCGAAATCAATACTTATTAAAAAAATATATAGAAAGTATATGATTGCTATGAAAGATACTGATTGAGATGTACAAAAATCGATGTTCGCTATAAAAGTCTCTGGTTGCTATTGAATTTTACATTTTACTACGGAAAAACACTGGTTGTTATGAAAGTCACTGGTTGTTATGGAAGTCCATGACTGCTATATAAAGTCAACAGTTGCTTTAAGAATCTATGGTTGCTATGGAAAGTCAAAGGCTATAATGGAAAGTCAAAAGTTGCTTTGAGGGCACCAGTTGCTTTGGAAAGACAATGGCTGTTATTGTAAAGCAATGGTTGCTATGAAAAGTAAACGGTTGCTATGAAAAGAAGACGTTTGCAATGATAAGTCAATGGTTGCTATGGCAGTCTTTGGATGCTTACGAAAAATGTTGGTTGCTTTGGAAGTCACAGCTTGCTATGGAAAGTAAATGGTGCATCGTGGTCACTTGTTGCAATGGAAAGGCAATGGTTGCTTTAATTAGTGACCGGTTGCTATGTAAGCCAATGGATGATAAGGAAAGTCGCTGGTTGCAATAGAATGTTATGGTTGCTTTGGAAAGTCACTGGTTGTTATGGGAGGGCAATGGTTGTTATGAAAAGAAACTGCTTTCTATGAAATTTTAATGGTAGAATTGAAAAGTCACTGGTAGCTCTGGTAATTCAATGATTGCTAAAGAGGTCACTGGTTGTTATGTAAAAACAATGATCTCTTAGGAAAATGAATGGCTGCTTTAGAAAATCACTGGCTGCTATATAAAATCATGGATTGCTTTAAAAGTAACTGGTTGCCATGGAAAATCAATGATTGCTATGGAAGTGTCTGGTTTGTGCACATATAAGGAAAATCTATGATCCCATTGGCTGGGACCAATTTACACCCCAGGGCTTTAATTTGAACAAATTTAGATTAGAAGTGGAGGTATACTAGACAATGTTAAATGCTTTATATCTAAGCTAAAGACAATGTTTGCTATGGGAAGTCAATGATTGCTATGGAAAATCAGTGGTTGTGACTTGGGTCACTGGTTGCAATGGAAAGTCAAAAGTGGCTATTGAATTATATTGTTGCTATGAGAAGTCATTGGTTTCAAAGGAAGTCAATGGTTCTATGGGTATTAACTGGTTGCTAAGAAGGTCAATAATTGCTATGGAAATTCATTGGTTGCTATAGACGTTTATGGTTACTATGGAAAGTCAATGGTTGGTACGGGAGTCAATTGTTTCTATGTAAAACAGAGAACAACAGGACAGCTCTTAAATAATTTTGATTTATACGTTATCCCAATTGCTGTTGCTAATAAAACTTAATAAAATAGGTGTACTTACCGGAGTAGATCTACTTAGCCCTTTTTCAAGTAGAACAGGAATTGTATAAATTTAGTATTGTACACCCTATCAAAATTCCTGATTTTACTACTTTCACACCTAAACTTTTAGTGGTTTCTTGCCTGTGCATTTCACGACATCTGTCAAAGGTGGCCGATGAAGAAAATGGCTGACGAAAACGATATTTTGGAAAGTTGGGAGGAGTTAGACGATAAAGAGGTACATTGACAGTTATTTTAGTATCAATAACTACTATATTTAAAGTAATATCCCCCAGCTCAAAGGATGAGATTTGATCATTTGTATAGATTAAAGAAATAGAAAGTTGTAATGTGTTTTTCAAGAAATTTTCAAATAAATCTGACAAGTTAAAAACGAAAATAGATTTTCCAACAAAAATCAGGTTATCTGACATTTGACAGTTTTGCGATAGAGAATTAAATGTCAACATCAATTATAAATTATTCAAATAAATCTTTTTGTAAAGTCTGAAAGATATTTTCAAATTATTTGATAAAATTAGAAAGGAAGGAGATAGCTGTTGTTAACACTAACAGGGTCAGTTAAAATTGCAGGTCTACTGGTTGGGACCATCAACCAGACAATATTTGAATATCTTTCCTGCATACATGTGACAAATGGATTGGGTCAAATCTGGATTTTGAGGCTCAAAATTGGATTTTTTTATTGACTCGAGTTTCAATGTGTGTTTCGCACATTTGGTTCAAAGGATCTGTATTACCCTCAAAATCATTAAATGGTTATATTTTTTTATGATTTTTTTTGTTGATCAATATAGATTTATTTCACCAAAAAATAAATAAATAGATAAATAAATAAGTGTAGTCATACAGGCTATTTATAGGTTAATTAGACATGGTTTTGCCGCATCTCAAACAGGTTTTTGAATGATCCACTTTAAATGATTCTGCTCACCTTTAATCTTTATCAGTGCGGCACTAATGATAGAAAATCAAAGCTGGAGCCGAAATTCATACATGTAATTTACAGGGTCGTTTAGATGACATAGCGTGTAATACCTACTGCCAAATTTTAAAGGAGGTCAATTGACTGACACATGTTAAACATGTGAGAATAACTTTGGGTGATGGAACTGTTTAATACCTTGCTGTCAATTAGGGACTCAGCATTAAATCAGTGATTTTTCTCGTTTAATTGGGAAGAGGCCTTAGCCTCATGATTTTGGGAAAAACTATCGCTAAAATTGCTTATTTGGGAAGAAAAAAGCAGGTTTAAGTTCAGATTTTTGGGAAAACTGCATGATTTTAAAGAAAATTTCAATTGGGAAGAGGCCCTTTTTCGGAGTCTGTTTTATAAGTAGGAAAATCACTGTAAATCCACTATAATTTAGGATATGGACAGATAATAATCAATGCCCGGAGACATGGTTAACATTTTAGATACAGTTGCTGTGTTTGATTTTTTTTATGTTGATTTTTTTTTTAAATATCGAGAATTCAAGCTGTAATATTGGGAATTGGGATCAGTGTCGAAATATCAGGATTTTTTTAAAATCCCGCTGGGATATCACATGTATGTTCCTGACAGATTTCATAATTAAAACCTACACCCCTGAAAATTTGACACAGCACAGCTAGATTCTACTCCTAAATAACAAACTAGTCAGTTTATTTTTGATATTATTGACACTTATAACTGGTAGACAGACGTTTCACTAATCACTATTGAGACGGTTCACACTAAGACGGTTCACTCCCGAATGGATATGAAATGTCTGGAAGACGTTTCACTCCCTTTTTATACCAAAATTATTAAGACACTTATGATATACTTAAATAGACCTTAAATTTGATAAAAATGAATTTAAAAAGGGGATTTCATTTTTAGACTCAGTGCTTTAAGTTTGTTTATCATACTTGTTAAAATTTATTTAGTTTTTTACTTGATTGGAGAGATTTTTCAAAGCATCTAACATTATTCATTTATATCTTATTATCTCATTCAATATTATTTTATTTTTGTTTTATAACAAAACTTTTAGACCAAGACTTTTGTTACAATTATGGCTGTTGCCTTAAAACTGTTTTGATGGTCCAATAAGTAAACTGTTGATGCGAAAGTGTAGAATTTAAACAACTGATTGAATTAAGGGTCAAACTGTTGTTTATACAACTAATAAGGTGATTATAAGATTACTGTTAAAGGGATACTCAGGCAAATTAATGACAAGAATATTAAAATGATCTTATGTACTTAAATCATGCTAAAATGACATTTTTACAAAGTCCCAGCATGAATTTCTGTATAATTCCTATATATTTTTGGGTTTTGAAGCTTAAAAATTTATCTATATAATCTTGAACGAAATTTTAGACGCCAACAGAATCACGAGTAGTTTTTAAAAAAAACAAAAAGTCATGTGACCTTGAACAAAACCTGGATTGTTTACAATAATCTGATATTTTGGATATTGTATGATTGAAACAAGTCTTAAGTCGTTCATTTGATATATTCTTTAATGATTCCAGAGTTTCATTTTGACAACTGTTGTGAAATCTTCACGCTCCAACCTGACCCACATGGATCAAGTTACATGTAGGAAACCATCATTTTATTTCTTATAAGTAGAAAAGTTTTGTTCCTGTGACTGTCTAGTGTATTTGTTTTGAGGACATTTACAAAATAATGAATGTAAAATGCAAAAATGAAAAATGAAAATTTAGCCTGTGTCTCCCTATGTCTCACCACAATTACCTAAGTTTGTTTAATAAATTGATAAAAAAATAATTTTAAGGAATATTTGATTTTATACACATATTTTTGTATTTCATAGATTTAGACTTCAAAAAATAAATAAATAAATATTTAATATAATATTGATATTTTATATTATTTTAAAAATTATTATTTTCGATTTTTTTATAAAAATATTTGATATCAAATTAATGACATTTTTCTATGTGGCTTATTCTTTATGAAAGTACTAATTAAAATATCATTTTCAAGGCTTCTGATTAGGTAGGGGTAAGTCTTCCTCTTGGTTGTAGGGCCTTAAGTTAAGATTTGTTAAGGTTAAGTTGGGCATTTTCAACAGATTTAGTTTTTATCTATTGAGAATACCCCTACACTAAGCCACTGGTTAATTAGTTTTATTTTTAGATTTATATTTAATGTTATAAATGCAATTATTATTATAGTTGTCACATTAATATTAACCAGACTGTCCTGTAGTTTATCTTAGATAAATTTCCCTGAAGGGAGAAAATTATTGACACTGAATCTATCACTTGTCATTGTCACCTTGTTATGTTATATTGTATGAATTACATTATAACAGGTGTTAATAAACCCTTCATTTAAGTACATTTTATACAAAGTACACATTATAAGACAAGTACATGTACATAGTAATTATATATTTTTATGACAAATGATCAATGGATTGATTTAGTAGCTTCAGATACCTTATAAATAAAATAACCATTGTATTGATTCTCATAAAAACAACTTCCTGACAGCAGTCAAAAAACATCAAACTGTTCCAGTCTGACAAAAACTGAACTGTTTTTACTTTATTATTTCTTTATTCTTATAAGAAATGAGAGGATATATGGTCTTACACAAGTTAAAAACTTCAAATCATGTACAAGGTAGTTTATTAACTTTATGGGGAAAAAAGATAATTTACCAAAATGCTGAATATTTTTATTACTCACTAAAATAGCTGGAAAATGCCCTGAAAACATAACATTATATGGTAGAGATAACTATGGGTGGAGCAATCTGTTGATCCCAGGTTTGCAAGTTTTGCAGGCCCATAAAAGCTTCTTGCTAGCCAAAAGTTTAAATATGAATAAATCACATGAATAAGTATGAATACACTTTAGTAGTTCAATTTAAGTGTGACAGTAAGCAATTTTTCATAAACAAAAGGCATAAATTAATATTATGCTAGTTGATTTTCTAACTTATGCTTTGATAAAATATTATCAAAACCATATTATCATTTTAGTGGGTTAATGGTCTTGCATTTGAAGGTCTTCTTTAAGTTCTTTTATAATACATGCACTTCCTTTACTTTTTTTTCTTATCTGTTTGTGATTGCTGTACAATGTACAGAGAGAAGGGATAATTATGGTGAGTGGAAAAATTGAGCTTGTAATATTCAGGTAAACTCTTTAAAAATATTGCCAATGTTTTTTTATTGGTTAAGTATTCATATACTGCAAGCAATGGGATCATTTTTCATGAAGTATTTTTTCTTTTCATTTCAGGTTCTTGATAAAAGGTTACAAGATATCAAGATTACACAGCCTGAGAAGAATGGGTAAATTATTTACTACATGTCCTTAAATATATTTTTATATAGAGGATATTTGTTTGTTTTGTGTCCATATAGGAATGAAAATTGGAAATATATTTCACAGAACAAGCAACATATACATAGAGAATACCATGCTAATGATTGATAAATTTTGTTAGGCAAGGCTTTTAAGTGTTCATGTTCAATTTTTATATGATTTTGTTCCATTGAATTTCAAATGAAACAAAAACATTGAGTTCATCATCATGCCGTGCACACAGAAATATGCCAAGGTCATATCATTGGGAAGTTGATATTTTCTAATTTGTGCTGTGTAATGCTATATGCACTTTGTCTCATTGTGTCGTTCATTCATTACATGGCGGCGCGATGTTTCATTCATGACATTGCAATGTTTCATTCATGACATTGCGATGTTTCATTCATGACATCACGATGTTTCATTCATGACATCGCAATGTTTCATTCATGACATCGCAATGTTTCATTCATGACATCACAATGTTTCATTCATGACATTGCAATGTTTCATACATGACATCGCAATGTTTCATTCATGACATCGCAATGTTTCATTCATGACATCGCAATGTTTCATTCATGACATTGCAATGTTTCATTCATGACATCACAATGTTTCATTCATGACATCGCAATGTTTCATTCATGACATTGCAATGTTTCATTCATGACGTGGAAATGTTTCATTCATGACATTGCGATGTTGACATCGCAATGTTTCATTCATGACATTGCAATGTTTCATTCATGACGTGGAAATCTTTCATTCATGACATTGCGATGTTTCATACATGACGTGGAATTATTTCATTCATGACATCGCAATGTTTCATTCATGACATTGCAATGTTTCATACATGACATCGCAATGTTTCATTCATGACATCAAAAATTTTCATTCATGACATCAAAATGTTTCATTCATGACATCACAATGTTTCATTCATGACATCAAAATGTTTCATTCATGACGTGGAAATGTTTCATTCATGACATTGCGATGTTTCATACATGACGTGGAAATGTTTCATTCATGACATCGCAATGTTTCATTCATGACATTGCAATGTTTCATTCATGATACGGGTTACTTGATATTTATTACAGCACTGCTAATAGATTTTATATGTATTTCAGCACTGATATTGTTATTTTATATGTATTACAGCACTTGTAATTTTATATGTATTACAGCACTAATGATTTGGTTTTATATCAATTACAGCACTGATGATGGGGTATCACAGATGAAGGAGGAAGGGAGTAGAACTCAGTATACACCTCAGGTTCGAATCCTTAAAAGATCTACAGACGACAATGCCGAAAGTGCCAAAAATAATAAATCAAAGTGAGTATATCCAGTAGTGTGAACAGATATCCTTATAACCCTCAACCTGGTGAAATGTTGTAATGGATTTGCCCTGCTTTGAATTTGAAGCAGTTCATTTAAAAGTTAAATGGAGATCGATATGAAAAATATAAAAATCGAATGGGCTACCATCAGTATATAGCCTGGTCAGACAGCACAGATGGTGCTGGATGGCATGGCTGTACACTGGTGGTGGGAAAAGATTATATTAATTCCAGCAGGTTAAGGGTTAACTGGTAAGTTAGGAAGAAAGTGTAACTCATAAATTTTACTTGTTCAACAGTTTATAGACTAACACAGATTGTGTTTTATTTTTCAATACTTATATTAGATTTCCTGACTTAATCATTTATGAATATGCACTTGTTTTATTTATAGATTGACAATTTGGAAATGTGTTTAAAGTACAGCAGCATGTGCATTAATCACATTCATCAGTTTAACCCATTTACATTGTACTGTACTCAAAATAATGTTATACAATTTGATTTTTACCCTCACCAAATTTAATGTCTTTAATGGATTTGTTCATCTTTTAATCTTGACAAAACTGTTAATCATTTTTAGGGTGTATATATTTTCAAAATATCTACTGAGTTGGTCACTGGAACCATGCTAAGGGTTAATATCTCTCCTTATTATGAGCTTAATATAGCAAGTTTTAGGAATTTCAGTCATTTTATCTTAGCCACAATATAGTTTAGTCAAGCATTAAATCAAGTTACAACCTAAGAGAAACTAAAACTGATGTGAAAAATAAATAGATTTTAACTTAACTAGAAAGTTTTATTTCCCGACAGAGTTCAGGTACAACCACAGAAAACACTACAGCAGCGTGAGGCGGAATATAAAGAGGCGAGGTTGAGGATTCTGGGAGAAGACTATTCTGGTGCTGCAGAGAATTGTAATAACTCGGCAACAGTCCCTGAATCCAAGTGAGTAAAATGTTGAAGTGTCAAGTTTTTGTAAAAGGTCCTTGATTAATATAATTGAATGTGCCATAAATTTGGTTTTTATAACACAGAATGTTGAAGCATCAAGGTGAGCAAAAGTTTATATGTCATGGTTTGTATGTGCCTTTGATATTGGCATGGTTTGTAAAACAATTTAATAATATAAACATATATTTTTTTGTCAAAAATTACTAATTATTTTCATAAGAAACAGAAACTTTTTGAAAGAAAAACATAAATTTAAACACATTCATTACAGTTGTATTAAAAGCATTCAGCTTTAGTTGTGTCCCTTAGTCAATCAAATGCCATTTATCTCCCGTTTCAATAACTTTTGCATTAGAGATTATGTCCTTAAATTGATTTTGGGCTTGTGTAGTTAACTCAGTTCATGGTTTGTACATGTAAATATCATTATTTTTTTTCCATGGCCCTCAAAAATGTAAATTTCCAGTAAATTTTTTGGGAAAAAATTTCTCTAAGGTTTTCAAAAAAGTAAATTTTTTAAAGATCCTTTAAACAATTTTTTTAGGGTTTTGGGATTTTTTATAGAATTATTGATCTCAATTTAAGATTTTATCAATATTGTAAAGTTCCAAAATGCAAAAAGATATTACCGAATTTAACATTTTCATGTAAATAAAGGGAGGTAAATAAGAAATTTATTTCTATTAAGACTAAGTCAAATTTTTTAATACGAAATGAATGCATATATTTTAATGATTACATAATTTAATATGTACAAATATTTGCAGTACATATTTTACATATTCTTTGATGTTTGAAAATTGTTTTTATAAGCATATTTATATACATATGTATAATTTCATTTAAGTGTGGTATACAACAAAATAGGGCCTCCGTGGCTGAGTGGTTATGGTCGCTGACTTGAAATCACAGGTCCCTCACCGCTGTAGGTTTCGATCCTCACTCGGGTCGAAATCTTTCATGTGAGGAAGCCATCCAGCTGGCTTACGGAAGGTCGTTGGTTCTACCCAGGTGCCCGCTCGTGCCAGAAATAACGCCCGAAGGGGCACCCATGGGGTCGTCCTCCACCAATAAAGCTGGAAAAAATTGACGGAAAAATCTCGGCGGGACGCTCTAGGATGGCCTGACTTGAGTGTACGGTCGCCCATATGGGCTTTCCGGCGGCGACCTTAAATAAACGCATTAACAAAAAAAAAAAAGGTATACAACATCGGGGTCCATACTCTCAGTGCCTGAAAGGGCGGATGGACCCTCATTAAGCCTAGCATACATGGTATACAACCTCAATTACAACATACAGGATCTTTAAGACAAGTGCACATATATATTTTGAGTTAAGAGAATGAAATGTTGAAGATCAGAATTGAGGTGTAACATAGAATGTGTATTTCAGACACGCTGAAGTTGCACAATTTTGACTTACATATATTATTCAGTCTATTTCATGTCAGCCCTAATTCTCTTCCACTCTCTTTCATCATTTTGAAATATGTTGCAATGACTGTATTTCTTTATACATTACTCAGACTTTTTTTTATTATATTATATATATCTGACATTATTTATAATTCTAGAATTGTATTTTTTAAAACTTTATTTTTTATTTGGCTCAAGACATTTGTCTTTATTATACAATTGTATTTATATTAATCATGTTTTATTCCATACATGTATAAGAATTGTTTTGATTTTATTACTGTATAAATTCCATGGTATATTCCACTGGCTTTATGTACTGTACTGACTAACTCAATTTCTACATGTATATATGAGCCGCGTCACGACAAAACCAACATAGTGCGTTTGAGACCAGCATGGATCCAGACCAGCCTGTGCATCTGCGCAGTCTGATCAGGATCCATGCTGTTTGCTATCAGTTTCCCTACTTGTAATAGAATTGGTAAGCGAACAGCATGGATCCTGATCAGATTGTGTGGATTCGCAGGCTGGTCTGAATCCATGCTGGTCGCAAACCCATTATGTTGGTTTTGTCGTTACGCGGCTCATATATATTGTACTGACTTTATTTGTTTTCCTTTACATACTAGTGCACTGACTTTATTTCTTTAGATTTTTTCAAATGGACTTTATGTACTGTAACTGAATATTTTTTTACATATTGTTACTGAGCTTTATTTCTTTAGAGTATTCCACTGAACTTTATAAATATATATACTGACTGTTATTTATTTTCTATATTGCACAACTGTGTCTTTTCCAGGCCGATGAAATTTGATCAAACAGACAGAAGAAATGAAATTAACAGCCCAACAAAGTGGCAGCTTCTACGAGAAGAGGGTCCTGATGGTTCGCAGGATTTGATCAAAACAGAATAGCAAAGACCTAGTTTTTTGTTTTCATGATTAAAGAACAAATGGCTAATTGTATTGATGATTTGTCCAACATCCGTCCTGAACAAACCTTAGTATTCAGGAAATGTTTTGCTGATAAGTCTAAAACTATTATAAAATCTGAGGATGATTTTTTAAATGATTGTGGCTTTCAGAATTAAGGAAATAATGTGATTATTGGCGTCACAACAATCCTACAAGATTTGTTTGTTTTTTTGTCAAAGCACACACATTGTGACCATTTATTGCAGCTCTTATGGCAAATGGAACTATTGAATTACAAATGTATTTTAATCATATATATCTATAAATGTAACACATCATATATAATTTTTTTTTTTCAAATTGAGCTTTATATGAATTTCAAAATATTTATTAACTTCGGTTTTTCAAATGTTTAAACTAACAATGCTATGTTTTAAAGGATAATAATTTCCTAAATTTTTATCAGTTTTAAACAATGCTATAAATATGATGTTATTTGTAAAGTGAAATCTGCTTTATTGGGAATGTTTATATTTTTTTTCCCCCATTTAATCCACATGTCGACATTTTTTTGGTTTTTTCCACATTTACCTCATATGTTTTTACTTTGTTGTCTATATAAGTTATAAAATTAATCATCAGAAGTTTGAATGTTGAAACATACATTTTAATTGATTTTCTATACTCATTGATTTATGTACAAAAAATTTACTTAATTATGTATGCCTTAGTTATAAATAGTTGACTAAAGTTTAATGCATAGAGTGGAGAATGGATAGCAAGTTTTATTTTGGAAGTACAGGACATCCCAATCTTACTTTGATAAATACAAAGTAAAGGCAGGTCGCTTATTTAAGCATGTCGATGAAGAGGCTTTAAAGTTGATCTGAGATAGCTGTCAAAACAGCAAGAATAATCGGAAAGAATGGATCCTTATCAGATCAGATCTTGCTTCAAAGCAATCAAAAGGAGAAAGGTGGTTTTGCTTGAATTTGATCTTGAAAGCTGCTTAAACAAAGCAACAGGAAGTAGAAGCAAAAGAACCCAATTTGCTTTAATAGAAGGCAAGGAACTGTAAGAGAAGGACGTTGCTGCCTCTTTAAGTTGAAAAGCAAGAAAAGGGTGAAGGCAAATAAACCCAATTTTGTTTTGGAAAGAGGGAAGGATGGGCAAAACGTGATAGATGCAGTTGCTTTCAGATTCAAGGACACTGACTTGCTTTGAAGGAAAGCAATCACCTGTTTCATAAAAGCAAGGCAAGGCATATGATATGGTTTTGGAGAGTTGAATCTTGTTATGGTATGAAAGCGAATAAGATATGTTGGAGAGGAGGAAAAGCAATGTTGCTTATAAGAGAATGAGCAGAATTCCGCACTTAAAGAGAACACTGGCTTAGACAAAGACGTGACGAAAGGGAGCAACATGTGTGTCAAGGAGAAGATAGGTTTGAAATTTATCTTAAGAGGAATGGAACTGAAGATCTGTTGGATTTCTATAATGGTAGGATGGTTTATGGACAGAATAAGATCCTGTTATAGCAATAAATACCAGTCTATGTGAACTTTGCTTCAAAATAGAGAAAGGAAATCTGCTACAGTATTTAAAAGGTATGTTTTTAATTTATGAGGGGCCTCGATGGGTCAGAGAACAGAAAGTTATATGTGAAAGTGATATATGAAAATATTTTCTGCAAAGGATAATATAGAAACAGATGTTTGTCGTATAATGAAGAAAGAGAAAGTTTGTCTAAAGTGAAGGCAAACGAAGAGAAAGTTTGTCTAAAGGGAAGGCAAACGAAGAGAAAGTTTGTCTAAAGTGAAGGCAAACGAAGAGAAAGTTTGTTTATAGTGAAAGCAAACAAAGAAAAGGCCCTTTATAGCAAAGGCAAACAAAGAGAAAGTTTGTATAAAGTGAAGGCAAACAAAGAGAAAGGATGTTTTGTTTAACAATAAAGCAAATATAGAGAAAGATGTAACTATTTGTAAAACTCAAGCAAGATAATACCTGTGTGTTTCAGTAAAGACACACAAAGAATGACAAAGTGAAGGCAAACAAGGGTAAAGATTGATTTTTGAAGGCAAACAAACAATATAGTCTCTGAATGAAGAGCATTGATTGAAGACTTGAGTTGAAGGATAGATAAAATCTGAAAGTTAACCTTAGAATGGTAAAACTTGTTTATTATAGAGAGGCTGTAGGAATGAGAGTTGGGTGGGTTACAAAACCTGATGATTATGTGTGAGAGACAGACATTTTATATAAATGATGTTGATTTTTTTTTCTTGAGAAATTAAAGAAAAGAAAGTGTGGAACAAGTTGTTGGGAAAATGAGTATTTTGAGGTGTTTTGATATAAAATAATGTTAATATTTTTAACTACTTACCTAACCTTATAGAAAGTATAGAAAGTGAACAAAAAGTGTGTTATTTGGAACAAAGATTTTTTTCTTAGATTTAGAATTACCATTTGCAATAAATGTTGTTGTTAATATTATTTTTTTTGTACAACTCAATATCAAACATGAAAAAAAAGAATAAAGTTTATTATACACTTATAAGATATTGAGAAATGTTGATGAAATAAAATGCATATTTTCATTTTCTGTATTTTCACTGTATAAATTTATTTTTCACTGTAGTGTAACATATTTTACATATT